TAGCTCCAAAATAATCACACACAGAAAGTATATTATTTAAAACACTGCTTGACAATTACTTAAATGTATTGCTAGCTAGCTCGTAAATCTAAAATTAACCCATTTTCATTATTTTATATTTTACCTCGAGTCTCATGACCTCCCAGCAAGGTTCTGGCATCTGTCTCCAGCAGGGTTACATGGCTTCTCTTCCTGCCTTTCTTTTCCCAGCATTCCGTTTAGCTTTCCCTGCCTACCTAAGTTCTGCCCTATCGACAGGCCAAGCCAGTTTCTTTATTCATTAATGGTAATCACAGCACACAGAGGGAAATCCCACATCAAAATTTCTATCTCTCTAGGACCATAAAAAAAAGGTACCCCTTCGATAAGTGTTTTTAGTCATAGTGTTTTATCAGAGCAATGGATAAATAAATAACATACAGTGTAATAAATATACATATTCCTCACAATCCCACGTTCTAATTGTTTTCACACAAACAAGACTGCTAAAATTTACATAGAACCACAAATGATTTCAAATATCAAAGCCAAGGTGAGTGGGGATCGTCTCACACACAATCTTTATGCAATGACACAGTTAATGTGAATAATAACAAATACAAAAGAAACATAAAACTTTAATAAAAATAAGTTTTTTTAAAAAAAATTATCTCTTTCTACTGGGAAATCTGCAAGGAATATGTTTTAGGGATCAGATAAAATTCAGAGGGAATAAAGCCTGTAATTTTAATAGTCATAATTACCAAAAATTATCTGCCTGCGAACTGTTAACCATTTCAGTGTCATTGGCATTTCTAAAAATAAGCCACCAGCCACTTCAACCAGAAAAGATTCTAATTTTGCCACATTCAAAGTTCACAGGTAATTGTAGGAAATTTTAGAAGCCACAATGAGTTCTATGTGCTGATAAAATAATCTCAAGAGCATGGATTCCATTAAAATGTTCCCAGATTTATCCACATATCTAACCATTACATTGTGGTCTGGAGGATGCTCAATACTGACCAGAAGTGTGCTGTTGGCTCCATGAACCTGAGTGTCTGCCATCTAAAGACACCAAGTGGTCTCTCTACACATCACTTGCCCATCTAATAGCTCCCCACCCCAGAATGCATCAGCTGATCATTTCAATTAAAAGGAAATGAGTCTTCTCCTGTCAGCTATGGAGGTGTGTGGCGAAAGCAGAACAGGCTAAATTTGGTCAGAAAAATAAGACAGAAAAGACAAACAGGAGTTGCAACTGGGAAGTTGCAAATTTGTACAGCAAGATCTGGATCCTATTCTATAGAGACCAGCTCCTCTCCTCACAGGTAAGTGCTGTGGGACTCAGAAAGGGGAAGGGAGTCCCTCTTGAGCCCCTACCCCCTATATGAACCATTTCACTAAGTGCAGAGGACCCTCAAACTGGCACTAGATAAAAACCTAAGACAATTTGACCATGGCAGTCATAATCATTATTGCTTAGCCTCCTCCTCAATGCCATCATCAGAAAAGCCACTATAGGCCAGTGACAGGGCAAGCCCTTCTCAGGTAACTTTATCAAACTCTGAGAGCCAGGTACTCTTAGGAGTTTGTTTTGTTTTGTTTGTTTGTTTGTTTTAAGCTCACAAAACTTTTAAGTCACAGAGCTAATGTTAATGAAGTCAGAGCTTCCTCTCATGGCAAAGTTCCTGTCTTCATGAGGAGCAGAGAAGAGAATACAACGGCCTTGGCCTAACAATGTGGTTTAGAGTATTAGGCTTGGGCTAATAGCTACTCGGGCCATGCTCACTGGCAGCAGCCTCTGTCTCAATCTCTCCTTACACTGCTGTCAACGAAAGAGCAGGCACCCCCACTAAAGAGGTCTGGTGTGAGTTAGTGATTCTCACTTCCCCACAGAAAGTTCACCCTAAGCCTTCAGGGCACAGATGATGCATCTATAGAACAGACACACATTAACTAAAGGAGAAACTTTGCCCACTCCCCAGTGCCCCAGCATCAGAGACAACCTGACTACAAGCTTGCGCTATGTGCCACTCACCAAGCACATGGCATCTACCCTCCCCACTCTCTCTGAAACCTCAAGGGGGGCCCACATTGTGTCACAGGCCTGAGCCCTCCTCAAAGCCCTCACCCTATTACTGTCTACTTACTGCATTAATAGCTCTCTCCTAACAAATTTCAAAAGGTGACCCTTGTAGGAGGCAATTAACACTACATCAGAGAAAGAAATAAAGAACATAGGATGGGAAGAGGAGAAAAATGACAAGTCTCATGATACTCAGGCCAGCGGGGGACCCCTCTGCAAGCATACTAGAAAGCAAGCCAGCAGTAGAACCAATGAGATACGCTCCAAGCCCAGGATAAAGACTGGGACAATCAGAAGTCACTGGGTGATGTAGAATTCTCCTCTGTATGCTGTAAATATGTTGTATGACCACTGGTTATTAAAGAAGCTTTTTCAGCCAATGGCTTAGCAGAGTAAAGCCAGGCAGAAAATCTGAACAGAGAGAAAGTAGGTAGAATCAGTGAGACACCATGTAGCTGCCAAAGGAGAAGAACACCAGAATGCCAGAACTTACCAGTGTAGTCACAGCCTTGTGGTGATATACAGATTAATATAAATGGGTTAATTTAAGATGTAAGAGCTACCTAGAAATCACTAAAGAAACAGCATTGTAATTAATAAAGTTTCTCTGTGATTACCTGGGTGGCTGCTTACAACTGGATATTTTGGTTGAGGAGTCCAACACTTAAATGAACAATCCTATGTTTGTTGGGAAAAAATAAACTACTCAGGCCATTTTGAGCTGAGATAAATCATATCCTGAAGTGCTCAGCTACCTTCTGTGAAGGGTAAGACACTGAGCTGTGAGACAAGGGGCCTGCATTTCTTTCCTCATTGCTGTGACCAGGTACCTGACAAGATATGACTTCAGGGAGGAAGGGTTGTCAGAGAGGAAAGGCATGGCAGAAGCAGGGGGCACAGAGGTCACACTGCCTCCAAGAAAGCAAGCAGAGGAAACAGGAAGCGGGATCAGGCTCCACAACATTCCAGGTTTAGGCTCAGTGACTCCCTTTCTCCAGTGAGGCTCCACATCCTACAGTTCCCACAATCTTCCTAAACAGCACCCCAACCAGCAGGGCCCAGTTCTTCAAAGTCTAACCTAGTGGGGATGCTCCACATTCCAACTACAATGGGTACCCAGTCTGCTCCTAGGATCCATTTTGAAAATTAAGCCAGGCGAACACTTTCCATTTAGCTACCAAAATAACCAGTAAGTATCTTGTCAATCATTTTAACCAGCTATACGTTGTCCCCTAGAACCAGAGGTAAAAATAAATACCTTTCTAAGTTGTTGATGGGATATTGTCAAATCTGTGCTCTGAAAGACCAATGTAAGTCACGTGGTCAGGAAAAGAAATAGAAGAGGAAAAGCAGCAGCTCAGACTGTTCCAGAGCCCTGTTGCAGCTTGTGACACAAGATCCCCCAGGAGGCTCTCGTTCCTAGCTGCTTGTGGACAGGTGATGGCTTTGGGAGGTGATGCCAGGAAGCTTCCTGCAGGGAACACACAGAACATACACCAGACCACCCTTGGGTCAGGCTGCACTTCTTTTCTCTGTGCCCTTCTTTCCTCAGCTACCCACTACAGTCCGCCTTTCCCCTTCTAGAACTTCTCCAGCTATAACGCTGCAGCGTGCACTTGCTTTAGACTCATAGAAGTCGCCACCCAATGGGCCCAGAAGAGCCATGTTCTGTAGTAGGTGTTGCGGGCTGCATTCCTGCCACCCCAGCTTCTGGTTGCCTGGCTAGCTTATGCGTAAGGGCGTAAACGAATGCAGACAGATTGTAAAAATATATACAGCTTTAATGGTGAAATAGACTTACAGAACCACCGTTCCTGAGGAGACCAGGAAAGCAGCCAGATTTATAGGTAAACATTAGCCCGAGGCGAACACGCCCCCTAAGGGGCGGGACTTATCCCTACATTGTTCAGAATTTGACAACAGATTTTGGCTTCCCTTCCAGCATGGCTTGCTTTTCAGGCCAGTCCTGCTGGAGCCCCCTCAAGGCCCACCTGAAGCCTCCAGTCCCCTGACTGTAGCTGCTTTTAAAACAGAGAACAGAATTCTTTTAAAGCATTAAAGATAAGAAAGTCGGCCGCTGACAGAATGAAATTCAAACCATAACAGTTAGAAGAGGGGGGGAAATTGCAATAACAGCTAGAGGGAAAAAAAAAAAACATGGCTTGAAATATAAATCTCCATGAGACAGACAGGTACAGATATGCAAATGATCGCTCTAAGATGGGCCTCTACCTCCCAAGCAGAGCAAACTGACTGTTTTGAATAAGTCTCCCTACTGCCTCCTTCATCCCAAATCAGCTTCCCCTGACCTTTATGAAGCCTTCCACAGTGTCAGGACCCTATCTGCCTCTATAAAGCTCCTCTTCTTCTTTCTTTCAGAGGAACTTGTACAGATCCGCCTCGGTTTTTAGTTTACTGGCTTCTGCATGAGCCTTTTCTCTGTTTTTGCTGCAAAGGAGAGGTGCCGTCATTGTTTGACCTCGTAGCCATTCAGGTGTTTACCTTATTTATCATCTACTGAAAGGACAGACGCATCTCTGTGGACAACAGCAGAGCCGCCGCCACCACACACTAAAGAATTAGCGGTAACTGCCAGCTGTTTGTGTTTGTGTATGTAGACCAGGCTGGCATCACAATCATGAGGCAGCCAAGAATGACCTTGAACTTTTGATTTTAATCCTCCTGTCTCCTCCGACTACAGGGCTCCTGCACCATACTGGCTGTATAAAGTACTGGGGATCAGAACACTGGGCATCACGCATGCTAAGTGAGCCGTCTACCAGCTGAGCCAGGGCCACAGCCCTGTCTTATGTTTTTAGATTAGCACACATCCAATTAAGCAGGGTTTCTGTGCGATGAGCACAGATGTTTCCTTATTACAAAACCAAGAGCAGAAACGCATTCCAACAGCCAGCTCCCTGCTTGCCTCTGTCATTTGCTTCCTGCTGTCCTCAAAGGCCAGGTCTGTCAGTCCTGAGCATTTGCTTGGCTCCTGCTGTTTACCAAGACTAGCCGGTACTTCACACAGATTATCTGAAAAGAAAAGAGAGAAAACAGTCAGAATACCACCCTCCCCACAAATCTAACTTCCCACAATGTTGAAGTGGACTGTCCCATTAGTGATTGTTCATGGGTTTTCATATTTCTTAAAACAAACCCACTTTTTAAAAACCTTGTCTGCAGACGCGGTTCAGTGGTTGAGTGTGTAGCATGCTCACACCCTTGGGTTCAATCTCAACATTACATGGTAATATACATCATACTTCCAACACTGGGGAGACAAAGGCAGGAGAGTCAGGAGTTCAAGGTCAGGTCATCCTTTACTACGTAGCAAGATTAAGGCTAGTCTGGGGTATATGCGGCCTTATTTCAATCCACCCATCCACCAATCAGCCAATCCCCTAAAGTCATGGAATTCAATCTGGCAGTAGGAAACAATATGTTTATAATTTTTGAGCAAGTAACTCCTATTCTTTGGAACTTATCCTAAGGGTCAAAATATATTTTCTTCTTTTATATAATAAAATAAATACTAGTAACAATAAGACTTAAATCATTTCAATGTCCAATAATAAATAAATAAAATAGCACACATCAATGTAGTATGTTTATTCTAATATCAGAAACAATATTAAGAGTCAAAGAAAGATATAATGGGCTGGAGAGATGGCTCACTGGTTAAGAATACTGGCTAGCTCTTTTAATTTAAATTAACCTGTTTCTCTTTATCTACCTTTTGCCTCAGGACTTTCTCCCTTTCTCTCCGTGTAACTTACTTCCACTACTTCTCATGTCTGATTGACTGGCAGTTGCCTGGCTTCTTGCCCCATCACGTCCCTCGTTCTCTCCTCCTCTTCTCATTCTTCTCTTGTTCTTCTCTCAGGCCTAGATGTCTCCTCCTATTTATTCTCTCTGCCTGGCAACCCTACCTATTTCTCTCTCCTGCCTAGCTATTGGCTGCTCAGCTCTTTATTAGGCCAATCAGGTGCCCTAGGCAAAGTGAAACAAATGCAATGTGTCCTTACAAAGTTAAACAAATGCAGCATCAACAAAAGTAACACGCCTTCACACAGTGAAAGTCGTATCCCTCAGCATAAACAAACGTAGCAACAAATGCACAACAGCACATTTGAAGGGAGTAACTTCAGGGCTATATGAATTAATCTTAGTAAAGCTAGTTCATGAAAGACAACAACACCTGTGTGTTAGCAACTGTAATTTTTCTTTCAAACAAACTTGGCTAGAAAGAAAGAAGTTCACAATGCTGGATGTTTCTATTGTATGAGTGGTTCCACACCTTCTGATTCAGATAGACTTCAGAATCTCAAGATCTTCCATCCAGACCCTGAAGGCTGATGCAGCAATGAATGTAAATTGAGTGTATTTCGGGATCGTGTACCTTTGGAGACATAAATCATTTTCTGGCCTGGACCAGCAGGCCGTTCTTCAGTGTCAGAGTGCTAAGTGGGAGGGCCAGGAGATGAGAAGACAAAGAAGAAGATAGGAAAGCAGGAGTCAGAAGGTCTTACACAAGCTGATGACTTGTGCCTAGCAAAGTTCATCAAGAATTACAGCCTCAGCATCAGCGGAAAACTTTCATACAATGGGATGAAGTCAGCAAGATACTAATCAAAGTATTGTACAAGGTACTCAGGATTCCTCAAGGACATCAGAATTGCAGCACACAGAGGCCTACGATACCCATAGCCCCTTAGGGCAGGAACAATTGGGTTCTCGGGACCCAAAGCTGCCCATCCTTCAAGGACCTGTCCCCAGGCCACTACCTGCTCTGGGAAAGCTCCAGTCAATCTCACCCTCAACGATTTTTTCCAGACGTATAGTTAGTCTGAATTGTTGAGATTACATATAAACAATAAACATTTCAAACTTTGTTTGGACAAATACCACAACTGTTTTCTGGGCTAGAAGTCCAAGGAAACCTTCACAGGCAGGATATGGATTCCCACAGTAGATGGATGTCAGCACTACTGACCATCCAGGACTAGCAGGAGACCAAGGCCCCCTCAGACAAGAGGAAAGGGGACTTTCTCTTTCTCACATCCTAGCAGTTTGCCTTCTGGTATTTGTGATGCAGGGTGACTGAGATCTCTCAGTGGAAGCCATATGCTCCCAAATCAGCTGCAGCCTGCCCGACATTGGGCAGGGTTTCTGGGTTGTTTTCTATCTAGAAGACACTAGGAGAAACTAGTGCTAAAGGGACATAATATCCTTCCTCTAATTTACTTTTTGATGGTTTCATTTACTTTTATGAGTATGAGTGTGTGCCTGCATTCATGTCTGTGCACCACATGACTGCAGTACCCATGGAGGCCAGAAGAGGGCATCATATCTCCTGAAACTGAACCTAAAGACAGCTGCCATGTAGGTCCTCTGCAGGAGCAATAAACACTTGCTGTGGAATATTAATTTGAGATGTGTTATATTTGTTTAATGATGCAAAGATGTGTTGCATTCTTTTATGTTTCATTTAACTCTGTAAAGTTGTATTAACTTTGTCGGCCTAAAACACCTGATTGGTCTAATAAAGATCTGAATAGCTAGGCAGGAGAGAGAAATAGGAGGGGCTGGTGGGCAGAGAGAATAAATAGGAGGAGAAATCTAGCTTCAAGAGAAGAAGGAGGCTCAAGAAAAGAAGAAGGAGAGAAGGATGCCAGGGGCTAGCCACCCAGCTACCCAGCCAGCCACAGAGTAAGAAGAACGAGCTAGTGAGAGCTCACTAACTCTGGACTGTTAGTGGAGGAGCCTGCATAGGGCTAAACTAGGCCCACTGAATGTGGGGGACAGTTGTGAGGCTTTGGCAGTCTTTGGGGCCACTGGCAGTGGGACCAGGATTTATCCCTATTGCTTGAACTAACTGTCATCTCAGAACACATTCTCTTTGGAGGGATACCATGCTCAGCCTAGATAAGGGGGAGGGTCTTGGTCTTGTCTGGAAGTGAAGTGTCAAACTTTGTTGACTCCTGTAAGAAGCTTTACCATCTCTGAGGAATGGATGGGGGTGAGGGAGGGAAAAAGCTGGGGCAGGAGGAGGGAAGGGAGTGGGAAGAGGAATGGCTATGAAAATGAGAAAAGATTGTATTTTAAAAATTCTTAATAAAAAATTAAAATGAAAAAAGATGCATAGAATAAAGAAAGGTAAAAAGTTCAGAGGCAAAATGTAGTTAAAGAGAAACAGGATAATTTAAGTTAGAAACGCTGGCCAGAAACAAGCCAAGCTAAGGCCAGGCATTTATAAGTAAGATTAAATATCTCTTTATTTATTTGAGAGCTGGGTGGTGGGCCCCAAAAGAATTAAAAAACAAAAAACTACAAACACTCCTAACTGCTAAGCCATTTCTCTAACATTTAATGTCTTATGAGGCTCCATTGTCTCATCCTACATATGACTGGGAGAAATTAAAGTGGAGATTCATATTCATCTTGTGAGTGGGCACTCAGAAGAATAATAGAAACCAGAGAAGCCACTGGAGATTGGGGCAGGGGAGGAAGGGCTTAGGGAGCTAAGCATGGAGCAGTTGCCAGCGTAACAACAGAGTAAGTTAGTGGGGGACATTCTTCACGGGGATTTTAGAGAGTCCAAATTGTCCTGATACAGACACATCTCCTATGCACATCTCCTGTGGTCTAAGGAGAGCAGACGATCACTCAGAGACAATGGGAGATGGAGAACTGTAAGTTCAAAATAAATAAAAAGGTAGACAGGGCTGGAGATGGACCTCCCTAGAGCATGCTCAAAGCCCAGGGTTCCATCCTCAGTACTGCATAAACCTGGTAGCTCATACATGTAACCCCAAAACTTGAGGAGGGAGGCAAAACTATTAGATATTGAAGACCAACCTCAGCTACACAGTAAGTTTGAGACTAGCTTGGGCTGGAGAAACTGCCCCCCCCATATATATACAACAGTACACTGTGCAAATGGGAAGGGGACCAAGGAGAAATGGAGAAAAGGATGACAAAGGGGCCTAAAGAAGCTGTGGGAAGTAAAGGATGTTTGCTAAGTATATGCAAGGATTTCACGAGCTTGCAAATATGTCAAATACTTAAATAGGTTTTAAATATAAGTGTTTATATTTTAAATGTATCAAGATTTGTATGTTGAAAATAACTCAGACATATGATTGATAGGTACATAGAAATATGATAGATATTAGATGTTTAAAAGGTGTTTGATAATTGAATGACAGATGGATAGACAATTGTGATAGATGATTGACAGATAGATTGATTGATTGATAGATTGATTGATAGATAGATGATGGACAAATGATAAATGAAAATGTTCATCAGATGACATATGACTGATAGATATACAGACGAGAGATAACTGGATGGGTAACAGATGATAGATTTATGATAGAGAGATGAGAGATAGCTGGCAGGCAGACCCATAGATAGGTAAAAAGACGGCTGGAAAAGTTGAAAAGCCAGGCCTCTCCTAGCCATTGGCATCCTCACCATCTGGGAGGACACTGCAGACTCTTAGAATTCTCATTGGTGAACATCCCCATGGGTGTGGTATGGCTCAGTGCCTCTATGACTTCATCAATTTCATGTTGCATTGCTTGTCTTTATTTAGATTGTAAATCACCTTCATCGCATGCCTGGCATTTATCTAACTCTGTCACAGGCTTTTATGAGGATTTTTGTCCCCAGAAGCTCCCTCATATTGTATCGTAACTCAGAAGCACTCACTGGCTGCCCATTACAATGCAGGCTCATTTAGACGGGCTTCAGTGAACTGTCTCACATAGAACCCTTGCATGAATATTCAACATCCTAGGAGACACAAATGTGCAGCCAGTCTTGAGAACCACTTGCTACTTTAATGCTTTTATATCTGCGTTCTCCAAACTTGCTCGCACATTTTTTAAAAAGTGTTCAAATGAGGTCCTTTAAAACATCTGAATTCACTAAGCTTCCCACGGGCATTACCCACAAAGGATGGGCAAGGAATGCACACCAGGGTCGTTGGCTCTTCTGTTTCTGCCTACCCACATCCAAGGCACAGT